CCCCGGCTGGATAATCAGTTCCAGAAACCTTCATGCTTTCGACATACCTCAAAACTACCTCTGCTCTTGTAGAAGTTTTGCGAAACTTTCAAGCAAGCTTCCCAAGGTGTTCAACACCACCTCTGACCCTTGTAGAAAGTCCAACATTTTCTTGCTACCGTTTTTTCAATCATTTCTATTCTACCTCTGCTTCTTGATGAAAGTCAAACAACGAAAGGAAACTCTCCAAGGTGGTTCATGAATACCGTTGCCCTTTGAGGAAAGTCCAATTGTTTTCCCTGCAGTTATGGCGAAGCAAAGTACTTGAAAGCTACTTTTACTCCTTGAAGAAGGTCCAAAACCGCGTTTGCTGCAACAATTTTACAGCAAACTGTCCAAGGTGCTTTATGAATACCTTTGCCCCTTGAGGAAAGTCCAATTTTTTTCCCTGCAGTTATGGCGAAACAAAGTACTTGAAAGCTACCTTTACTCCTTGAAGAAGCTCCAAAACCACGTCTGCTGCAAAAATTTTACAGCAAACTCTCCAAGGTGCTTCATGAATACCTTTGCCCCTTGAGGAAAGTCCAATTTTTACCCTGCAGTTATAGCGAAGCAAAGTACTTGAAAGCTACCTTTACTCCTTGAAGAAGCTCCAAAACCACGTCTGCTGTAAAAATTTTACAGCAAACTCTCCAAGGTGCCCCATGAATACCTTTGCCCCTTGAGGAAAGTCCAATTTTTTTCCCTGCAGTTATGGCGAAACGAAGTACTTGAAAGCTACCTTTACTCCTTGAAGAAGCTCCAAAACCACGTCTGCTGTAAAAATTTTACAGCAAACTCTCCAAGGTGCTTCATGAATACCTTTGCCCCTTGAGGAAGGTCCTTTTTTTCGCTGCAGTCATGGCGAAGCAAAGTACTTGAAAGCTACTTTTACTTCTTGAAGAAGGTCCAAAACCACGTTTGCTGCAAAAATTGTACAGCAAACTCTCCAAGGTGCTTCATGGATACCTTTGCCCCTTGAGGAAAGTCCATCTTTTTCGCTGCAGTCATGGCGAAGCAAAGTACTTGAAAGCTACCTCCACTCCTTGAACCACGTTTGCTGCAAAAATGTTAAAGCAAACTCTCCAAGGTGCTTCATGAATACCTTTGCCCCTTGAGGAAAGTCCAGTTTTTTTCCCTGCAGTTATGGCAAAGCAAAGTACTTGAAAGCTACCTCTACTCCTTGAAGAAGGTCCAAAACCACGTCTGCTGCAAAAATTTTACAGCAAACTCTCCAAGGTGCTTCATGAATACCGTTGCCCCTTGAGGAAAGTCCAATTTTTACCCTGCAGTTATAGCGAAGCAAAGTACTTGAAAGTTCTCTAGGTCGCACTGCTCTAGCACTTAAGCTCTTCGATGCACTCTTTTTGACGTGTTGCTTCTGTATTGGCTTGGGGCTAGAAGGAGGGGCCTAGGCCCCGAGGCTGGGCCCTAGGCAAAAAAGTAACCCCCCCTTTAGGACAGAAGCAACGGTCAAAGTAGGCGCATGTAGGACTCCCCCACCGCGGGCGGTGTTCTGTCCTCAGTGTGGCTGAA